CACTTCTGCACATTTGTATTCCCAATCAGTTGCTGTATCTTTCATTTCTCTGGAGAGATGCCACCATGGATTAAAATTTTTTTTCTATTCTACTAATTATTTCTGCTGTGTAGACAATAAATCTGCCATTTCTTAAATTTCATGTTCTCTGTGGTCCTCTATATTGTCAGGTATTGATTCAATTTCCTTTGTCTTGCAGAAAGACTTTTGTACTCATGTAGATGTTTTGGTGGCCATCTTCTCTTCTGTTTTTATATCTTCCCTGTTTATTTATCTGTGTATGCTCTAAGTTTTTAACTAAATTTAAGTCCTCCTGGGATCTTTGGTAATCTTATTTTTTTTTATTATATTCTCTTTCATTTACTGACTCCTTTTCATTTTATCCCCTGGGGCTTCACCTCAGAGCTGTCCAGGCTCTCAAGCCACAGGACCAGGGAAGGATAGAACAGGCCCCATCTTGATGTCAGTTCTCTTTCCTTCAGGCCTGGTAACTACCTCCCCCTGCTCCACCTTCCCACACACATTTATGCTCATGCCCTGCCTAGTTACCTATTCCACACATAGCTCTCTCCCTGAGTGCTGCTATAGCACACTGTCCCTCCACCCCCAAGACAAAATTCTCTCTGCTTCCTATGCCTCCACTTCTTTCACAAAGGGGTGAAGCAGAATTGAGGTCTGCTGCTTGTTGTCACACAACAGTGGGTAGGGTCCAGGGCTAGGCATGATTGCAGAGACTGCAGCAATAGCAAGGAAGTTGCTGAATGGTTCCCAGACAGCATCAGTGGGTTGGATTATGCCAGTCTTCCAGATCATGAGGGCTGCTAGGGGAGAGGATATAAAGTAAGTGTATTCTCTATTCTCCCTTTTCTGTTGTTAATTCATCAGGTTATTTTCTTGCTAGGATTCTTGGGGTTTGGGCCTATGGTGATAGTTGCAATAGTTTTACCTCTTGTGAATAATTCCTATTTTAGAAAGTTTTTGAGAGTTCATGAGGGCTGGAGAATATGTATAATCCACCATCTTGTTAGCTACATGCCCCAGATTACTTAATGTCAGTAAAACATTTCTTTGGGAAGTGTACTTTCAAAGTCTCTGCTTTGGTGTGATCTGAAATGATCCTGGAAAGAGGTCCATATACTGTACTTAAGAATACTTGTCTCAAAATATTTTAGCAACTGTAGAAGCTCTCTTGTTTTTGGTTGAGTATACTTCTGCCTACTTGTGAAGTGGTCTGTTACCACCAATATATGACATGACTTTGCTATCTCTTTCCAGAGATAAGTCTACGAAAAGAAGTTCTAAATGATGCTTATGTTCTCCCAGTATGTAGTATACTTTGGAAGTATTTTTCTTTGCACATATATCTTAGTGATATCTGTGATCATCATTGGCTAGTGAAATTTGTTTCTTACTGGCTCTAGGGTTCTTTCTTAAAATATTTGTCTAAATTCATTATGTAAAGCTCTCATATCTATATAGTGATATGCTCTGAATAGTACTGATTGCTTTTTGGTACCATGTATAGTACTCAATTGCACGTCCCTTTTGATATCATCCTCATTCTTAGTTTATATTACTTGAAACAGTCCTTGAGTAGCAATCCACGTTAATATTCTTTTCAGTAAAGACTTAACAGAAAGCAATGAAGGGCAATGCATTAATTCATTTTTAGTGTCCCCTCATTCTTTCTGTCCCTCCTGCTGTAGGAAGTGGCAAGCCTTTAGCTGCTAATGAGGGATAAGAGAGAAAGTATGAAAAGCAGAAATGATGAGATAGGGCAGCAAATGAGAGGTGTGATGCACAAAGTCAAGGACTTGGAGCCCTAAATGGGATGGGATATAGCACTCAGCCACCAGAAACTTGAATTGAAGTTCAATTAAAGCCTCAAGGTGGACAGAGGAAGCAAAATAGCAAGTGAAACATAGGAAATTTCTCTCCATATCTGGCCTTTTTTTGCCTATATCCCTGCACCAGAAGGGATAAGATAGCTAAAGTGAAAAGCATTCCTTGCCAGCAATAGGGCACTGAATGGATAAAGAACCAGTCATTAAGAGCTCCAATCGATACTAGATCTCAGTCCATGCTTCAAGCTTCACAGCATGAAGTCCTTTGTCTAAAGGTCCTCAGTCTTCATCTAATGACCAGCCTAATAGAGACATAAATCAAACATCAATTGGGAGCTGTTTTGATTCCTACACTTCTTTGCTTACTTGTGGGAGGAGCAACCTTGCAGAAGGAAACAAGCCAAGTTATATATTCCCACGGGGTCCTGGATTTAGAATGGTCTATTTACACTCTGGGGCTGCCAAACTCTGAAATATAATTGAGATATGCAGTTTTGCAGTAGATGTATTTTTTTAAAATTACTTTTATTATTTCAATATAAACCAAATTAATGTACACAATACCAAGCATGTTTATGCCAAGGTCACTGTAAGTAGGACTCAGTGAAAATTTAGCAAGGAGGTGGGAGGAGGTACGGTTTTCAGGTAAAGTGGGTGCTTGAGAGCAGATTCCAATTGGGTAAATCCACAATAACCACACCTCATAGATGAATTAATGTATCAGAGAGAAGAGCTAAAAGATAGGTCATTCTCTCTCTAAGGAATATAGAAAGTTTGGCACTTTCCCAGCATTTTGGGACAATGGGATAAAATGCCATAACTGTCAGATGAGCCTGCCACTTCTAGTGCCTAAGCATTCTCATGGAATAGGTTCAGGTTAGTGTCTAGAAGCATCCCCTGGTGGTTAAACAACACATATTTTCTATGTACCTTCTAAGGTCACTTTGCAAAATTATAATTACCATGGGAGCTAGGTTCATAATTAAATTTCCTCTCCTTTTGTTTTTTAACTAAAGAGATTTGCTTAAGTAATATATTTTACATAAAATTTAAAGAAAATGGTTTGTTTTAGGCTTCTGTTATAGTGTTCTATACTCTGTTTATATGTATGTTTTATCAACATGTTGTAACAGGATTTCATAGATGTTTTTAAACATTAACTTTCCTGCAGAACCTGCATGCTGAAAAGAGCTGAAAAGAGACTCATATGCTCTGGACTCTATTTTACAATAGACCAATTATATCAGGCTTTCATTAATCACTTGACATTTGTTTCTTTTCTTCTCAGTGAAATTGCTCTGTCTCTTAGAGGTGTAAAGAAGAAAAACTAAATAAAGATATTTAAATCAACACATTTTAAGCTACTATTTTTGGTTGCCCCAGGACTAATACAAAGCTATTTAAAAAGATATTTACTCCTGCAGATACTCTCCCCCTCTCACCAAAGGCTAAAAGTTCTTCCAATAATCACATGCCGAGTGGGTGCTAGAGAGAGACTCAGGCCTAGTCTCTTTGCCCATCCCTCTGTCCTGTACCTTGTATATCCATTGCCTTAAACAAAGCTTTTTTTTTAAACAAAGGGTTTTTTTTTCAAATTCTTAATTTTCTTTTATAATTTGCTACAGAATGTACAGAATGGAATATGCAAAAAGAGTAATGAAATAACATTAAGAATTTATGCTTTATGTATATGTGATAATTATATAATCTACTCATTTTTGAATGGGATTGAAGAAGTGATAGCACCCTGACATATGAAAGTTGTAGGGTTATGTAGGCAGTATCTGTTGAAAGTCACAGGAATAGGGATATAAACAATGACCTGAATGCCAATAGAAATTATTCTGTGTCATCTTTTCCATACATCCCATACACAATTTACTAATGCTTGATACTGCCTATCTACATTATAAGGAAATGCTGCATAGTATCCTCAGCAACATTTTCTCAAAAGCAACCCCTTTGGGAATAGGAACTGTCTTTTGAGATTCATTTGGCAGAGTACAAAGCAACTAATGAATTAATGAATCAAAGACCATTTATTATGCTCAAGAGAAACACTGAGTAAGATAGTCACAAAAAATCATGGCACTTAAAACTGAAATGAACCTTAGAAATAATCTAAGCCCCTTGTTTTATAAATAAGGAAACCTAGGCCCAGGAAGGGCATAGTAATTTACCCAAGAGAAACTCAGGTTCTGATTCCAAATACAATGCTTTTCTCACTGACATCTTTATATATAGTCCACAAGACCAACACTATAGAAATCTATAACTGTGTACATAATATTGTATAGGATAGTAAGTGGAAACAGGCTAGAACCACAGAGATAGACAGACAAAAAATAGAACCAAACAGATCCTGCTTTATACATTTGGGGTATAAAGATTGTGATTACAAGCCTAATTTAAAGACCTGACCCAAATATTTTCTCCCCTGTATTCCCAAATGCTTAAAATTCCAATTATTAGAATCACATCTTAAGCATATATTACCTGGAACATAGCACCATTTATCAGAGAGAAATAATGCAAATTAATTTATCTGATTAGCAGATCCATTGTCACTCATTGTCTTTTGAGAAAGAGATAGATTAAAGAGCAGATAAATTTTAATGAGGTAGGAAATGTCTAATAAAGGAGGGGAGAATGGAGTATTCACCATCCAGACTTTCAGAGGAGGAAGCTTGGTCAGAGACAGTCTGTATGGCTTAAGTGGGAAGATGGAGATAGGAGCTTCTTAAAGTGAAGTAGAGGACCCCAGAAAGGAGGGATGAAAGTGCTTCTTACCACAGTGCCTGGCACACAGTAAGCTCTTAGTGAATGTTGACTGACTTGTCTGAGGCAAACCTTGCCAGTTTACTAATTTTGCCCTGGTGCCAGAGGCTCCCCATACCATCATTGTGTCGCAACTAGGGCCAATCCTGGGTTATGATAGCGACATTGCCCTTCTGTGAACCCAGACTGAGGAGAGCATTGGGAATGAAACTCAAGGGTCTGAAAGTCAACTCTACCCCTCGTGTAGAACTGACAAAGAACACGTGCACGTAAGTCCCGCCCACCCTTGGCTCATCCCGGCTCAGACCACGCCCTCGGGAGGCGGGGCCCAGCGCTTGCCCCGCCCCCTCTGAACCACCCGTTCCGCTGCTGCTGTCACTTCCTGCTCCGTAGATTAGTGTCCGGGTCGTGTTGAGCCTCCTGCTCCTGGAGTCTGTGGCTAGAGCAGCCGCCGCCGAGGCTGAGCCGCAGGGGCCGCCGCTGTGCCAAGAGGAGGGAGCGGGCAAGACTCAGGAAGGGAGGCAGCGGCGGCATCGGGCCGGGCCGGGCTGGCGTCTCCGCGCCTCCTCCTCTTCCTCCTCTCTTGGGGGACCAGGGGCCAGGGCTGAGGGGCCGCCCGCGCACGGCTTCCCCTCTCTACGCCGGCTCCGCTCCCCTGCCCGCCCCGCGGGGGAGGGCGGAAGATGCCGGTAAAGAAGAAGAGAAAATCCTCCGGGGCGGCCACGGCGGTAGCGGAAGACGGAGGCCTCAAGAAGTGTAAAATCTCCAGGTAGCGCCTCCCCGCCCCGGCCCCAGCCTCTGCCCCTGCCTTGCGTAGCCTCGTCCCTTGAGGGCGGGAGCCGGGGGGAGGCGGCGGCGGCGAAGGCGCAGCCCAGCCCGGGCCTCGCTCGCTGCCCGAGGGGGGCCTGGGCTTGGAGGGGAAGGAAGGCCCTTGGCCTCAGACCCAATGGGGGGAAGCGTGAGTGTGAATACGTGCGCGCGCAGAGTTCTCGGAGTCCTAGCCTGAGACCTCCCCTCTTATGGGGGGGGCGGAACAGCCTCCCCGCCCTGGGGTACGCCTGCCATGGGGGGCGGGGTCGGGAAATAGCGCCCGAGGGGGGATGCGGGGGATTCTTTCCTCCTGCCTCGGCCCTCCCCGCCCTCCCCGCTCTGCGCTCCCGAGATGCTCCCGGGGAAGGGGTGCAGATGTGCACGGGTGACCTTCTGGAATTTCTTTACAGAGTGTGAAGGGAGGAGCAGAGCTTGAGGAGTCTTGACTTGACAACTGCCTTGGGTGTGGTACAAAGGAAAGGAAAACTGCCCCTGCCATCCTCGACCTCCCAGCTTGACATCTCTGTGAAGGATATGTTTTAACCTAGGAGATCTCTGGAGGAGGGTTTTTAAATTAAGGGGCCTCGATGCCAGGGGCTTTCACGGCCTTGCCTTAAGGTGACCAACGTCTCACCTGTGCCAAAACCCCTTATCAATACAGAGTACGAAAAGCCCTGCCTCCCACCGTTTCGTGAACATTTATTCAGCATGGTGTTAGAATTCCTTATAAAAAATATTAGCAGTTGACTTGAGAGGTATCTTGTCCTCTTGGAACAGGAAAGGACAAAGCTTAGCCAAAGGAGTGTCTCTGAAGGCTAGTTGATGCTATTGTGTTGTATCCTGGGGTGGGGGTGGGGGCTTAGCTTATTGAGACCACACCGCTAAGACATTGCATGATAGGCATAGCAGTTTAGGTATGGGGAACTGATTTTTTTCCCCCCTTTCATTAGATGAGCTTTCATGTGCCCAGTGAATGGGAGGTTTTAGAAAGCAGTGTAAAGGTTAAGATCGAGTTCTCTTATTAAGCACTAGATCCAAGTCCTTTAGTAGCAATGCTGGCAGATGTGAGAACCACTGTTATTTAGGCCTTATTTCTTGACAGGCCACACTTCTTTCTTCTGTCACTTAGTAAAAGAAACTAAAAGAAGAGTATTTCTTTGCTCATTAAGGTGATCAGTGACACTTTAGTTTCTACATGCTGTCTTAATGAGGTGATTATTGTTACCTCATTATGGAATTTGATTGAATGCCATTCCTCTACTCCATGTTTAATGGTCTCACTTTAAAAACTGCTTCCTGTGCTTTACTAAGTCTGGCATGGACTGACATTATGGTAACTTATCTGCCATCAAAGATATTTAGGAACCTGTATTTTTAAGAACTTGTATTTTTAAATGCCTCCTAACAAGAACACATTTCTTTTAGTACTATTATACTGTATTAACCTTAATTTAGCTATTTATCCAGAGAGCTGAATATCTGAATCGCATCAGTATTGATCATTTGTTTTTTCTACATTTTTACTTTTTCTATATTTTTTTTGTGCTTTGTCAGTACTTAAACTTATCCTGAATTCAGGATGTTTGCATGGAAAGCTGAGCAAGTTTCAGTTCTTCAAACTAACCTTTTTCAGTAGTTGAGCAAGTCTTGTTTGAGGCCTCAGTGATAAGCCAAGATGACTGTGTCTGCTAAAAACTGAATCCCTTGTTTGGGAGTTCTATAACTAGATCTTAAGTCATTATTTTTCAGTTTTACTATTTTCATAATATTTTGAGATACGAAAGTTATTTGAACTATTAAGGCAGGATCTGGGAAGAAGCAGTGTCTGTTATTATTGAGGCTGTTTGTATGAACAAAACATTTTAAAAATTAGATGATTAGATTACAAAGCTTTTGACTCCAAACTGTGGGTCTAGATTATGTTTTTACTCTTTTTTTTAAACCAAAGTAGATTATAGATAATCTTTTAATTTTTTTGAGGGAGGTGAGGTGGGATTAGGAAGATGCCTTGGTGCATTATATATGTAAGTATATAGAATTTTGCTTCCTCAATATGTGTGGAACATTTATTAATTTTTACATGATATAGCTTGGTAAATACAATTATCTTTATAAGTAAGAATAATAAATGTGATACATGAGTACTGGGGTTCAGAAATTCCCAGTGACCAATCTTATATTCAGACTACTAGATTATCCTGCTTCTCATCTGTGGTATTTTGAAATCTGGGCAAATGAGTTGAAATTTGATAAAAAGTAGTATTTTCCATAAAGAGGATTTTGATTTTGTTAGCCAAAAATTATTTGATTTACCTTGTTTCAAATTCCTAGTAATAACATTTAGTTTTTCTCTACTGTAATAAATTCTATTGATTATTACAACAATTAGTTTAAATTGAATTAGTTGGATTTGAGTGGAAATTATACATTTTTTAAGGGTTCAGAAAAAATAACATTTTAGGCTTCTTTGTGTATTTTTTAAAGCTATTGCAGATCACAAGTCCCTGCTAAACTAATAAGTGGAGAGGAGCATTTTTCAAGCAAGAAGTGCCTGGCTTGGTTTTATGAATATGCAGGTAATGAAACAATTGTAACTATTTCTATCACATGACTTTTTAATATTTGAACTGATGTGACAAACAAGAGAATTAACATGCTTTCATTCTTTTTTAATATTAATGTTTTTTCCTATTAGGTTATTAAATATTTAAAAAAAACCATTTTTTCCCCCACTGGAGGCACATTATTTCTTGAAAATCAAATCCCACTTTTCCCCAGCTCCTTTCTCTGCCACCTGCCTCCTTAGCACTTAAAAAACTAATTATTCACAGTGGCTTTGTTTGAAATAAGACAACTAGAATCTTTGCTTAGATGTAGTGCTGATATAAGACATATATAAGGGCTACCTGAAGTAGCATTGTATATGTATTTATAGAGTTGTAAATTCAACAAAAATTTCTGTCTAAAAAGTGCCCTTTTTTTTTGAGCTGCTGGTCCCAAGAGTATCTGAATGGAACTTGAAAGTTTTATAGTAACATGAAAATTTTATTTTAGGCCGAAGAAACAATATTACCATGTAGCATTTCTGGGAAACCAAAAACTCCCAGTTGAAGGGAATTTATTCAGTTCTTTATACTCTACAGATTATTGACCTGCTGTGTAAAATATTGGTTATATTGACATATCACTTGTTAGAGAAGAGTAAACATCATCCTTTATCTTTATTTACTTATGAAGACCGCCAGATACTGCAAGAGTACTTTTATTAAATACCTTTTTTAATGCTTTTGTACTTCATAAGTTACTTTCTAGAGTAGTAAGTATAAACAATTAATATAACTTTTCCTCCTGAAAAGCGGTACTTTTATAATGTTAGTATTGATGATTGTGCTTTCGTGGCTGTTCTAAATTTTTGACCTCACTATATAATTATAATCTCATATTTCCTAAGATATAAAATTGTGGATTCATTTAACTTATTTTTAGAGAATATGGAACAAATCTGGTGATTTTAAGAAGAAAACCAATTTGAAGGTTGAGTAAAATGCTCATTTTCGGGCTGAATGAAAACATCTAAAGTCTAGATTATGTTCCAATAAGCAGCTCTAATTCTTTTATTTTTTTTTGGTGAGGCAGTTGGGGTTAAGTGACTTGCCCAGAGTCACATAGCTAGTGAGTGTTATGTGTCTGAGGCTGGATTTGAACTCAGATCCTCCTAACTCCAGGACTGGTGCTTTATCTACTGCACCACCTAGCTGCCCCATCTCTAATTCTTAAAAATAGAACATTGTTCTTTAAAAAGAGTTGTAATTATTTTATCACTAAACTTTATTGAGATAGATTGTGTTCTATATCAAGAACACAAATAACACTTAATTAGCTAGTATATTTTATTTTGCACAAGAGTAAATAAAAGCACACAATTTGGGCAAGTCACTTTATTTCCCTGGGCCTTAGTGTTCTTATCTGTAAAATGAGGATGTTGGACAAGATGGCTTCTGAGCTCTTGTCCACCTTTAGATATTTGATCCTTTGATGTATCTTTCTTAAAGGGTTACTTTTGGAGGTCATTTAGAAAAGTTGAGAATAAGAATAGAATTCTAGCTCCTAATATAGAAGTATCTAGTAGAGCAAGCTAAATTAGTGTGATTCTCCTAGTTCTTAAAGTATACCCTAAGGGGTAAATTGAAGATTGAGTTCATTTTTTTCAGGTTTAGATTAACTTTTAGTGCATTGGAATATTTATTTAATGAGTGATAGCTGAATTGGTTAGAAGAATTAATTTTGTCTCCAAAGGTGATCAGATCAGACTACTTTCATAGAGTAGCTTTACCAGAAGGATATAGCTCAATAACAAAAAAAAAATACCCACATCCACTAAAATGAGTACACTTAATTTCTGGGAAACTTATTCAAATGGTAACTTATATTTGTTAAATCCCTATATTCCCTTTTTGGGTGTACAGATAGATAAATAAGATCTCTAATACAAAATGTTAAGGCACTAAACTGATTTTTAATTGATTTTCATCTAGTCTTCATGGTCTACAAAAAGAAGGTTCCCATAAGCAGTTAATGAAAGAGAACTTAAATATTAATATATTATTTAAAATTAGTATTATTTACCATTTTATATACAAAGACAGGAACCAAAGGGTATAATTAACATGTGCCAGTTATGATTAGATTGTATTTTACATTGTATGTAGATCTTTACAAAATTGTTGTCAGCCAACTACTATTCATCAGATTTGTTAGGATAGTGACCTTCATACTAGACAAGATAATTAGTAAGTGTTTTGACCATACTATTCCTTTTAAAAATTACAGGAAACTGGAATCTTATTTTACTTGTAGTGCTTGGTAGCACTAAGCCTTGCCATGTGAATGACTTTGATGTTAGTTTATCATTTATAAAACAATACTTTCAATACTTAGGAAAGGCATGCTTTGTTTAGGAGACCTCTTTTTGCTATTTGCAGTATAACATTTAAACTGGAAAAACTTTAGTTATTTTGAAAAGGAAGGAAGAATTATGAATAAGCGAACTTGAACACATTTCTATCTTCCTTGTTCACAAGAGACATGGCATAATTAATTTTTTTTAATAAGATTGGTGGCTTTCTGATCAGATCCATGTATTACTTTCAAGAGGGTAAAAGTTAAAGGGGTAGAGGATCCAACAGGAATATTTTGATAATAAAGCAGAATTGTGATAAATACATTCCAGACTGTTTCCAAGTATGTTTTTGTAATACTATCCTTAATGTTATCACTAGAACTAACTGCTGGACCAAACAGTTTATTTAAAAAAAAAATCCGCAGGAGTAATTGATCTATTATAAAATATTGTCAAAATACACACTACTACCAATATTTCAAGCTGCCTTCTAAAATTAGAATCATGGAATTGAAGAGATTGAAGGAACCTCAGAGATAATTCAACACAAATCTTACTAACAGCATGAGTTCCACCTATATTATCCTCGTATGGTCATCTAGCCTCAGTTTAAAGACCTGCAATGATGGGGAACTCACTACCCCACATGCCTGCTCCCCAAGTAGCCTATCTTACTTTTTAAGAGTTGTGATGGTGTGTCATTTTTTACTTCTCCAAGTTATATCCCCAACTCCTTCAAACTAATAATATGATTTTCCTATTTTGAACTAGTGATCACTACACTTTGGCTTTTCAATGTCCCTTTTAAAATATGGTGCATAGGGGGCAGCTAGGTGATGCAGTGGATAGAGCACTGGCCCTGAAGTCAGGAGGACCTGAGTTCAAATCCAGCATCAGACACATAACACTTACTAGCTGTGTGACCCTGGGCAAGTCACTTAACCCCACTTGCCTAAAAACAAATGAAAAAATAAAATAAAATATGGTGCATAGAATTGAACACTGTATTCCACATGTGGTCCTACATGTGGCAGGCTATAGTAACAGCCTTTCTTAATCTGTCCAGTATACTTCTATTAATGCATCATGAGATTGTATTAGCATTGCTTGGGTTCCACATCGTATTGCTAAGTCATTGACTTTACAGTCCACTAAAAGATCTAGGTCTTTTTTTTTTCACAAGGACTAATTTCTGACGAGACTTTCCCATCTTGTACTTGTGCAGTTTATTATCTGAACCTAAGCACACTACTTTAGTGTACAGTACTTTATACTTACACTCATTTTCATTTTACTAGACTGGCTGATATGCAATGAGTCTTTTGAATCCTCAGTCTGTAATTCAGAATATTAGCTGTCTCTTAGAGTTTGTCATCATCTACATATTTGATATCTATGCATTCCATGAAGTAATTAATAAAGATGTCAAGGAGTGAACCCTCTAAGCATCCCACTAGACTCCTGATCAGATTGTTACCATTCTGTGGGTTTGACTAGCTCAGTCAACCAATTTTGAATCTACTTAACTGTGTTCTCATCTAGTCTGTGTTTTTCTATTCCACAAGGATAGCATGAGAGACTCTTATTAAATGCTTTGCTGAAGTAAAACTGCTATGTTTGTCTAGTAACTGTCAGAAAAAAGGAAATGAAGGTTGTCTGACATGATTCTCCTTTAATGAGTTCATATTAATTCCTGGGTATGATTTACCTATTTGCTTTTTTACAAATTCACACCAAAGTTTTATGAACATATTTGTCCAAAGATGAATTCCATAGCAAGGGTATAAGTATTTTTTTTAGCCTTGAAATTCCTTTTGTTTTTCACACTGCTTTGGAGTTTAACTATGTAACCATAAGACTCAATTTAGAAAACTTTATGCTTTCTTATTCATGTATATTGATTATTTTCCTATTGATGTTAGTGTTGTCTGTTAGTAATACATCTTACACATAGAATCATAACTGTTCTTTGTCCTAACGGAATAAGAAAAAAATTGGCATTTGATTAGATAAAGTTCAAATATGAACTTAAGGAGATTATGTTGTTTTCTCTCAAGGCTAATGTCCATCAGTGGATATCATCAGTGAATTAATAGATTCTATTTTAATAAGTATTTCTATTTGAAATATAATGGTTTGTATTTAACTACAGTCCCTCTTGTCATTAGTGGTTCTTAACCCATCAAAGGAATATCAAAAGGAGCCAATAATTAGCTTTGTGAACAAAAGAACAAATAAGAATATGTTCATCCTTTACTAGAGTCTAAATTATTTTTTAGTGCTAATAGCCCTACAAAGGTGCTTAGCCTTCAGTTAACAGACTGTTACGGTGAGAGCAAAATTCTCAGTTGCATTCATAGTCTGTACATTTGTAGATTAGATCATTGATAGACATTAGCTACTTTAGGAATCAAAGTTTTTTACTAAGGTAGGGTAGTCCAGCTCATTGGAGTAACAGCATTGGAAGGTACCTCAGTGATCATTTTTTCCAAATCCATATCTTTTACAACAGAGGTGTCAAACTCAGAACTCTGGTTTCAAACTTTTGCAAAAGTCCCAACAGAGTGGACCAGTTTAAAGTGTAATTGTGAAATGTTTATCAAAATAAATAAAGTACAGTATAAGGTAATGTTAATCTGTGTATTTCTAAATCAGTATGTAGATTGCAGTGAAATATTTATGCTTGAGCTTGATATTGTTGTTCAACAACAGTATCCAAGCCATTTTATCCAGCCATTGCTTAAAGACTCTAAAGGTGAATCTATTACTTCCTAAGATTTTTGGATAAATACTTTGAAGTATCTACTTCTGGATAGTTATAATAGTTAGGAAACTTTTCCCCATAGTCTAAATTTGTCTCTGCAGTTTCTGCCTTTATTCTTAGTTCCTTCTTTTGAAGCCATACAGCACAACCCTAGTTCTTCTCCATCATGCTAGCCCTTTCATATACTTGAAAATAGCTGAGACTTCTCTGAAGACATCTCTGGGACTTCTTTTCTCCAGGCTAAATACTTTATATTTGTTTAACTGATCTTTATATGTCATGTCCTAGAGACCCTTTATCCTGGTGTCCTTCAAACATTTTCCTTTCAGAATGTGGCCAGAACTGAACATAATGTTACAGATCTGGTCCGACCAAAACAATACAAGCAGAACTAGCGTATCCTTATTCCTCTGAGGTTTACCTCTTATTGTAGCCCAACCATCTCTTCAGTCATATCAGATTTAACTCACATTGAACTTGAAGTCCTATGAAAATATTTAGATCTTTTTTAGAAGAACTTCTAAGTATGAATTTCCCATTTCCTACTTGAGAAGTTGATTGTTTGAAACCCAAGTGTAGAGCTTTCAAATTTTTTTATTTGACCTGTTGTCTGGGATTGTCAGGATGTCTTTGAAACCTGACTCTTTCTCCTTCAGTGTACTCTGTGTCCCTCCCAAATTTGTGTTCTGCAATTCTGATAAGCAGACCATCTCTAAATAGTAATCAGCAGAGGACCCAAATGCAAGTCCTGGAGGTATTCCCCTGGAGACTACTTTCCAAGTTGATAATGAAATTTTAATGTCTACTTTTAAAATTCGTTTTTGTTGATGCTATATTTTCAAACTGTAAGAACAAAGAAGATATATTCTGTAACTAGCTAAAGGTCAGGAAGTAGTTTTCCTAATTAAGATCGATTTGTTAAAGTACAAGGAAGCCTGTCAAATTTAGTATTAATTGAATGAGAAGCAGTAAGATAGAGTGGAGAGACAGTTGGCCTTGAAGGTGGGAAGACCTGGGTTCAAGTCCTGCCTCAAATAACTTAGGCAAGTCACTAAACTTCTCTGTGTTCCAGGTAACTCTTAAGTTGCAGGGAAAATGCCTGCCTTCATCAATAAAGGAAATTTCCTCATATGGGAGCTCCCTATACCAGTAAAATTATAGGTGTAGTTCCTGTCCCATGTTTTAAAAAAGTTAATATAACTTTTTAAAATAACTACATAAATTACATACTTGATACTTGTGGTGTCATAGCAAGAAGCTTTAATTTTGATTTTGCCAGTGGCCCTAGTAGTTAATATTTGTGAGATCTTAGAAGCAAGTCATGTAATTTCTATGGGCCTTATTTTCTTCGTCTATAAAATTATGGTGTTGGAAGAAGTGGAGTTGGATGAAGTGGGATTGGAACTAAGGTTCCTTCCAAATCTTAATTCTAGACTAGCTCTTAAATAAATTGACTCTTAAACCGGTGCATAGTTTAAGAACAGGTATCATATCTTATACTTCCCATTGTGCATAGCACACTGCCTTAATACGCAGTAGATGCTGAGCAAATATTTGATTGCTTTTGGTGGACATGTTAAATTAGTGTAAGAACTTGCCATTTAACTTAAAGTCTTCTTTATTTTTGTGTTACTTTAGTTTCATTTTGTAAAGTGATTTACTAAAAATAAATAAAATGATTTACTATTCAAAAGAGTTCATTATTCTTGAGTTTTGAAAGCTTTATACAAAAAAGTAAATAAGTTCAAAATTTTCTTCAGTTTTTATCACAAATTTATATAATTGCTGGCAATTTTTATTGAAGTTTCTATATAACAATGGACATTTATAGATTTTTTTCATTTTTGTTTTTGAAGGTCCTGATGAAGTTGTAGGGCCAGAAGGAATGGAAAAGTTTTGTGAAGATATTGGTGTTGAACCTGAAAATGTATGTTTTATTTTTGAGTATGGTGGGAGTAACTTGTCAAAATGAATTATTTTAAGTAGAATTATTGTGAGAGGATTGGACTGTATAATCTGTAAGGCTCCTAAACCCTCTCCCCCCCCGAAAAAATTTTGTTTTATTTCCTCTACCTGTTTTACCATGGATTTACTTTGTTACTTTCCAATTTCTTATTTAATTTGGTTTCATGTTTTCCTTTCCCGTCAGAAAATACTTGCGTGAACAGAGAGAGATTATGCCTTCAGTTAATGGTGATGGAATGTTTTAGCCTCATGAATTTAGTCATCTAAAATTCCTTAAAATTTGGAGTTTTTGATGACTCTAAAGGCTGTGTTAAATAGTTAAAACTTAAAATATTTATGTCAAAATGTTCTCCATGATAAACTACAGAAATTATTATCTCTGTGCTGACTCTCGTTCCCTCTCCCCCCTCATCCTTTATGTTCTGTTCTTTCCAGATTATTATGTTAGTTTTAGCCTGGAAATTGGAGGCTGAAAGCATGGGATTTTTTACCAAGGAAGAATGGTTAAAGGGGATGACTTCATTACAGTAAGAGCCTTTTAAAAACAAACAAACAATAATAAAAATCAACAAAAACAACTAATTTAATAGCTTATTTGAAAATTTTACCTAATGTTTTATGCTCCATAATTTTCTCAGAATCACTGATGGGTATTTGTAAATCTTTGATTAAAGTATTCAACTTACTTTAATTATAATTAACAGTATTCAGTTTGAGGGGATATCTATAAAAGTTTTTCTTTCCCAGCCTTGATTTGTGGTTTTATTTTAGCCCATATGCTAACGCATTAACTCTGTACTTGAGAGGATTAAAAAGCCTGCCCACCAAAATGTATGACTATTAAAATTCAGTGATTGTTTTGATTAGGGAACTATGGACCCATAGGTTAATGGGATGTTTACTTATTTCTGGAATCTAGATATTCTTTTTCTGCATATAGGAATCTAGTCTGTAGAAGGGTTGTTCTCTGAGTATCTTTATGTCCAGGCCTCCTTTTTCTGAAGTCCAATTCAATCCTTGAGGATGATCATAGGATTTTAGAGCTGGAAGGCTCTATATCATTTCGTCCAATCCCCTCGTTTTTGCAGATGAAGAAACTGAACCTTCAGTTGTGACTTGCCCAGGGTCATTGTGTGTCTGAGGCAGAATTAGTATTTTGGTCTTCCTGACTCTGAGTCCAGCCCTCTATTCTACTACACCACTCATTTCCTTGGATGGCAAATAGCAGAGCTGGAATTTGAATCCAGATTTTAAATTCAGTGATCTTCTCCACCTTTGGTTTCATGTAGTCAAGTCATTAATATTCTTTTCACTTCATTAGTCTTACATTTTTTCTGTCTGCCGTGCCACTGAGATAATATGGGTATCCTCTATGACATGATAGATTTACAAAATGTAAATCTAAGTGTACATTTACTTCTGTAAAGGTCTTTACTAGTATGAGTCACATTGTGGTTTCCAGATTTGCACACGTTACCATTCTTATTAAGTAGTGGCCATTTCTTAATCACATTATTACGTGTAAGTAATTCTATGTTTTACTTAGGATGGTTCATATGGGCTGATTTTTTTTGTTTATTTGGTTGGTTCAGCCTGTCTTTGAAAATGTGGAAAAATGTAAACATTTGTTTCCTGACCAATATGATGTAAATAGCTGGAATATAAAACTTTCATGCGTTCCATTCTTAGTAAAGATTTTTGAAAGAAAATAAGCATAGGTCACTATAAATCGACTATAAATCAGTTTTGAATAGTTCAGTATTATATTTTATAACTATCTATGGTCACATGTCTTAACCATTATTATTAATTGGTTATATTAATGCTTTTGTGCTTTTAATTTACAGTAGGTTTTGGTTTTTGTTTTAACCAAAAATGTCATGACAATTCCTTGTTTTAATTATGTGAAATCAAGGATATATGAAAATCTTGTTAAAGCTAACTTGAAAAAATAAAGCTTTTCGAGTACTTATTTCTAAATATTTAGAAATTTTTGCTATATTACATTCTTATTAACAAGAACAATAAGTAACTAGCCCATAAACATTACATAGGGCTTATTCAACCCTCTTAGACATCTTACGAAGCAGAATAAAATAGGTTAAGTCATAGTCCAGAGAATAGGCATGTTTGAATAATCCTAATATTTGATCCTAGATCATATCTTTTTGCTGCATGATTTATTTATATTCAGAACAGAATAAAATTTCACTGCCTTAGTTGATCATCAGTTATTCAGCTATCATTTGCAAAGCATTATTTTTATTAATTCACCAAATTTTTGTTGTGTGGTTTTTATGTGCAGTACACAATGATTATAATTAATGTATTCCTGTCCGGGTAATTTCAGTTATTCCTTTAATAATTTTTTGAAAGATACATTGATTATTTGAAGCCTCGTAAGTTTAATACCTCAGGAAACTGTAATAGAGTGCAGCTGAGTGAGGAGTATACAGCATGTAATAGCAGATATTCTGTGTGTGTCTTTGTGTGTGTCTCTTTGTGTGTCATTATGTCTGTGTGTGTGTGTTGATCTAGACTTAACATTTCATCACTTTGGGGAAATCCCAGTACAGAAGCTCCCTCCGTCATGTCCTCTGGGCAACTTGTTTATAATTTTAGTTTTAGAGAATTATTTGGAACACTGAGATGTTAAATAATATGCCCATGGTCACATAGTATATGTTAGAGGCAGGATTTGGATCCAACTCTTCCTGTCTCCAAGGACAACTCTCTGACCACTACTCTAGACGGTCTCTTCAATCAGATATAAGAAGAGTGTACTATAATGATGTACTATGTGTTAATATACTGTATGTTAGGATAGTACTTTAAAAGTTTTCAAGTAACTTCTATAGGTGGATAGTCTCAGTTTCAGTTGGTAAATCCACATGTATAGCTTAATTGTTTTGTTTATATTCCTCTTAAGATTGGCACTATAGGAAAACATTCTGACTTCGCTTTTACTTTCTCCAAGAAACTGTATAATTTTTGTGTATCATATAATTTTCAATAATCATAGGATATGAAAGGATTTGCTTTTCAAGTTTTTCATTTTATATTACAACTATAAATTAAGAAATTTGTTTTGGTGTAACTTTGGGGAAGAAAGGATTTTTCCTTCATCTACTAAGGAAAAAATAGTTCTGGGGAAAGGATGGGTGTTGTGCTGGTGGGAAAGTATCTTTGAAAAAATTTTACTTGACTCTGTTGCTGAAAAGAGACAAGTAAAAGCCAGAACTTAGCCCGATCTTAGCTAAGATACCATCAGGAGTTAGGGTGACAAAGAGGGTTGACATTAGGAATTTGAAGCCTAAGTACCAAAGTTAAGCTCAAAATTTGGTCGTTGTTGTGGAGAATGAAGGGGAAACATGGATTTGTTTGTTTGGGGAAAGAGGATTCAGAGAAAGAGGCAAGAGTATAGACAAAGATCAGGGATCAAAGTTTAGACTAAAGTCTATTTAACTTGAGATGTACCAGTACCTTACAAAATACTGGTTGGAAAATGCTAATCTTGTCAGTGTCTGTGACTTTTAGGGAGAACTTTACTTAAACCATTTTAGGCACATAAGTCTTTCTTGGTTTTTAAGATCTTGGAGAAAAAAAATTATACAGCATTTCTTGATAATCTTCAAGACATTTTTCTTCCTAAATCTTTAATGCTACTGTTTAAGCCCATATTCTCTCGTTGAAGATATGAAGAACAGCTGGTCTTTTCTATACTTCTATTCTTTATATGTATATCCATGTGTATACTTATGTGTATGTATAATTTTTTTTAAAAGTGTTGGCCTATTTTCTAAGTGTAGTTTGCAAGATTTTTGTTTTAATGTACTGTCTTTGAGATTATGAAGTTATAGACCCTCATGAGTTTGTCTTGTTAAGGCTACTTTTAATATAAATATTTGTATCAGGGAATAATTTCTACAAATAAGGGATGTCAGGTTGATTTTCCTAAATCTTTCATTTGTCTTCATGCCAATGGATGTACATTTTGGAAAGTTATTTGTATATTTGAATAGTAATTTTGTTAGTTGTCCTTTGAAAAGATAATGGTAGTTGCCAGTCTGTAGTAACACTAGATAAGGTACAATGCCTTATCATTGTTACTACTCAGGAGTTTTAGAATATTTTGAAAATGATTGTAGTGGCCTGAATATTGCTCTCTGGCATTTTTTACTTTGCCTACAGAATGTTCCACTTTTACGTATTGTTTTCACATGTCTCTCTTGAAGGTCTAGTGCTTTATTGTGTTAACGTATCAGTCTGCCCAGTCATTTGCCAACTCTTGGTCATTTGGTGTTTTTTTTTCCAGTTTTTCACACTGGACTCGGAGTCAGGTGACCAGAGTTCAAGTCTCAGCTCTGAAAAATGTGCCTTCTGCATGAAACTTTTCCTGATTTTCCCCAAGTGCTAGTGTCCTTCCCAAACTGTTTTGTATTTCACTACTTTGTATGTGTGTATGTATTTACTAACTTTATATTTATGCTGTATATATTTTTATATGTACTTGTTTCCCCCATTAGAATGTAAGCTCATTTTGAGTAGGAGTTGTTACATTTTTTTGTACTTGTCTCCCTAGTCCCTAGCCATAGTGCTTGGCACATAGCATGTGGTTATTAAGTGATTGATTAATATGACTTCTGGAGAGAGATGAATGAAAATAATCTCTGCCCTCAAAGGGCTTAACATTGTACTGGGGGATAATGATGACAATAGTTATTTATAGCTTGTTTTACAGTTTGCAGATCGCTTTATATCATTTCATTAGTAATATCATTTGCTTTGACTTTCATCAGAAGTAGATGTTTGAAGTTAAGAATGGAATACTAATATGATTTCTCCCCTCTCAGCATCTTAAACCTCCTGATTTATTTTTTAAACAGTTTATGGATTACCTCTTATGGCAGATATTTATTTGCCTGAAGGGGGTTTCAGAGCAATAGGCACATAGAGACCAGATTAATTAAGTTCCCTTGTATTGGCATTAGTTGGGCTATTCAAAATGGTGGTGTTGTAGTCACAATACTGTTTTATTAGTTCATGTTTTAAAATATTTGTGAGATAGCACAGTGTAGTGGAGTAGTTAGTGTCCTGTGCTTAAAGTCAGGAAAGCCTATGTTCAAATTTCAGTTTTACCATTAACACCTGTGTGACCCTGGGCAAGTCAGTTCACCTGTGTGTGTCTCAGGGAACTCCAAGGACTTACAGACCTAGTCATGAACATTTCCCTCTGCCTGGGTGGAGGCATCTCCCTCTTTGAATTTCCTACAATAACACAAAACCCTTTTTGCCACTTTTTTTTTGGTGGGGGGGAGGTAGAGAAAGGGTGTTTTGTATTAGAATAGTTGTTTTTTCCCCCTGCAAAGTTATCAAAAGAATGGACTTTGATTTAAGAATCTATTAAGTAGATTCTTATTTTTTGAACTACCATGCATAGTACTTAGCATAAAGCATACCACATGTATTTTATTACTACATATTTGTAAACACTGGCGTTTCCAATCTCATTTTAATTATTTAAATACTTCTATATTACATTTCTGCTTGTACCCTGACTATGGTTTTGTTTATTTTTCTTGATTATAAAATCTGATTTTTATTTAAGGTGTGACTGCACAGAAAAATTACAGAGCAAATTTGATTTTTTGCGCTCACAGTTGAATGATATTTCATCTTTTAAGAATATCTACAGATATGCCTTTGATTTTGCAAGGGTAGGTGCAATTTTCATGTTTGGTGGTTTTAAAGAAAATCCTATATACTAAGGCCGCATTTTTTTTTCAAATTATTTTTTTCCCCCAAATTTTAGGATAAGGACCAGAGAAGCCTTGATATTGATACTGCTAAATCTATGTTAGCTCTTTTGCTTGGAAGGACATGGCCACTGTTTTCAGTATTCTACCAGTACTTGGAGGTATCTTGTTTATTATTTTGAAAATGTTCCATTTTCCATTAGTGCAACACTTAATGAATCCAGCCCAATTTTAAGACTTAAGAGATTTCAAGCTTTACATTTTTCTTCTAGTCTATTTAAATATAATAGATAGTATATTAATTTGTAGTACACATAGATATCATTGATTAATAATATACAGAACAGCAGTTAATTTCTAAAACCAGGCTTGTGTTTCATTGCTGAATCAACTCTGTATTTATGGTGGCAAAACAAATCCTTGGGATTTTTGAAACGTAAGAATGTTTTTCATTCACTCATTCCTGGTACCCTTCTTAACATTAGGGTTTATTGTAGTCTCTAAGGTATTCCAAAGTAAAATCCATAGACTTGCATTTATATATTTTAAAATTACTAATAATGATCTATAGGTACAAGTACCACTAGACTTTTATTCTCATCTAAGAAGTCCAGAGTTGGAATATACACAAAATACTTGTATCATAATGTAGTTTTTCAGTTGCTACTTAGTCTCAATCAGAACACAGTCCTTCTAAAATTATATGCTTATATATTTCGGGATTGACCATTAATGGCATATTCAGAAACCTATTTGGATTATAGTTGCTGTGTAAATCTGTTACCCTTTGGATAGTAGCTTAACAGTTATCATGTTTTATCTATAGGGTACTACCTTTTAAAAATTGCTTGTAGTCTTTTCTCCATTTGACTCCCATCCTGTGATTCTATTGGCTCTTTTTTCCTGTTTCTCACACTTTCTTCAAAAAAATTTACTGTAGTTTTTTTTTTGCATATTCATTACAGCATATTAAAAAAAATAGTTTTCTTTAAATTATGCTGTAGTGAGATATAGTGGTGTAAAGTTCATATGTTGTATGAGTTTGTAGATCCAGAACTTTTAAGAACTGGAAACAAACTTCCCTGTAGGGAAGTCAACTGTTTTCTTCTCATTATTAGTTTGGAAAAGAAGAAATTTCAATGAATTCAAAAGATGTTTAGTATATCAGACATTGTGAAATACAGTTAAAAGCAGATTTCTTAATATAAAGAAATGCTCTTTTATATATGTCTGTATCAGTATTCTTGGAGGGAGGGGAGGGACATTTATTTGGGGGGAAACAAAAGGACAAAATGCTTAGGCTGACCCTAAAAAAAATGAAAAATAATTTACTAAGGGTGTGATCACCAATTAATAAATGCCTTTATAGTATTCCAAGTATCTATATTCCATTTTTCCTAGCAATCGAAATACCGAGTTATGAACAAAGATCAGTGGTACAATGTATTAGAATTCAGCAGAACTGTCCATGCAGATCTTAGTAACTATGATGAAGATGGTGCATGTAAGTATAAAATTTTGATCTGAAAACAGATTGTTCATAGAATTGATATTGTAAGATGATCTATATAGTGATTTATTATTTAAATAATTCTAACTTAAGTTTGATGGTAATTTTTCCCCTTAAATTAAAATAATTTAACAATATTTAAAAAGAATGCTGTTGTGGTGATTCATTTAAAATCCTTGGATGTCCAGTTATTTTCTGTGCTCTACATTTTCAGCACTTACCTTCCTTTGGAGAGTAGTCACTTAATTATTTTTCAAAACAGCTTCTGCATAAAGAAAATATTCTTATAAAGATAATCTGAAATGATAGCCCTATTTTATGTCTTACTGAAGAAAATAAAATACCAGAAAGGTAAAACTTTTTTTCATCTGAGTATTATTTCCTCTACCTAAAAGCAATGGCCAAATATGAACAACTTTGCTTTTTTTTTTTTTTAAAGCCTTACAGAAGCTTGCACTGAGAACATTTGGTGAAAGCATTTTATTGCACTAATTGATGAGTGCTCAACTTTGTATTAGGAAAGATACATTAGTTCATTTAGCTTTCTTTTAGTATTGTGGGTGCACTGTCCACCAGCACAGTTCATGGAACTCCTTTACAGTTAAAAATATTGAGTTTCTTTGGACAGAAAAATTCATTACCTAGTGGTCAACTTTTTCTCCAAAGTAATCTGGCCTCTTGAATGATTTTTGTTGTCAGGCTTGTATTAGTTTGGTAGCCCTTCCCAAAACTTGCATTTAACTAGAAGAGCTTTTAGCCACAAATCGCCTCCGTAAAGTGATGCATCAAAGTAGGACTTTAATAACAATAAAAATGATGATAGTTAACATTTATGTAGGGCTAGACATTATGATGACAGCAACATTACCTAATACTTGCATAATACTTTAAGGTTTGCAATGAGCTTTAAAAAAATATTATCTCATTTGATCCTCTCAATAGTCCGGGGTTACAGGTGCTAGCTATTATTAATCCCTCCATTTTACAAATGAAGAAACTGAGGCAGACAGAGGTTAAGTGACTTGCCCAGTGTCATGCAGCTAACTATTAAGTGTCTGAATCAGGACTTGAATTCAAGGCTTCCTGATTTCTAGGTCTAGTGCTATACCTGCTATGTTACCTAACTTGCCTGTATTTTAGGTATTATAGATTATACAAAATACTTTAATGACATCCCTTAGAATAAATAGTTATACATGTAGACTGTTATCATATTAAAGCATATGATCTTCAGACTAAAAAAGAGTAGAACAAATATTGTCCAAGTCGGCACTGAAGACAAGGCGAAGAGATAGTAGAAAGACGGACTCACATGTTAAATTATTTAAGATCATCTGCCAAAATTGAGTTATTTCCCAGGGCTACAGCAGCAGTAGCTCGTTTATGTAGAATTTTAAGGTTTATAAAGCACATTTTCTCAAATTACCTTGTGTAATCTGGTACTATAGGCAGTATTTATATTATCAGTCACATTTTTAGGATGAGAATAATGAAATTGAAGTCAGGCCTCTGAGGTGTTAATTGGCGTAGACTTGAACCAGACCTTTTGACTAGTGGTTTTTCCACTACATTTTGATGCCATCCCAAGGTGATGCCATCACCTTGATTTAAGGACTGTTGATTTTTAAAATAATTCTGGATATTTGGAAAGATTCCACACAAGTAGAGATAGGCAAGTGCCCTGATTTTTAAAAAGAGGAGTATGGCACATTTCAGAAAAGTATAGGCTTTTGGCCTTTATATTAATCTTTGGCAAAATTCTAGAATAGATTATTAAATAACTTTTAAGAAAGGAAAACAATTCACTGGGAGATAGCATGGTTTCACAAAGAACTAACTGTGCCAAACTCAATTAATATGTTGCTAACAATTTAATAGTTCACATTAAATAGTACTTTAAGGTATGTTGTAGCTTTCTTTTCAATAGCCTTTTTAGGTACTTAGCAAGAGTATTGTCATTCTTGATTTATAGATAAGCCAGCTGGAGCTCAGAGAAAGAGGTTCAATAACTTGCCCATGGTCACAGTAGGTTCAGAACTTGGGTTAAAACCTCATTCTTCTAGTTATAATTACATTGCTCTTTTTAATCCATACTGGTACATCAGAGGAATGCTACCAGGTATATGCCTCAAAGAGCATATATGTATTTGAGCAAGATAATTGGCAACCTTGTCATCTTTATGGATGAAGTTGAGAAATAGAGGCTAAATCTAGGTATTCAAGTATTCTATCCTTGTCTTGGTCATGCTAATCATTTTAAAAAATGACTTAGATTAATGGGCAAGGCACACAAATTCGTTCCATATACTTCAAGAAGTGATAAAATTTAATTAAAAAATAAATGAACTGGAGTGATGGCGTGAGCATCTTAAGATAACATTTAACAGAGATAGAATTTCTGCACTTAAACCAGAAAGAAATCAGCTGCACAAGTACCAGATGAAGGAACTTGGGAACTTAAAAAAGAGTTTTAGTTGACCATAGGATATGGCTTCCAAAAAACCTAGGGCAGTCTGAGATGGCATTAATGGAAACAAGTCTAAATCAAGAGTAGTAGTGGTTCTAGTTTCTTTTTCTCTGGTCAGACCATGGTCTAGTGTATTGTTGAGTTTCGGGGATCACATGTTAAAACTTGGAACTAGGTTTCATGGGAAATAGCTGAAAGATTTTTAGTCTGAAGAAGAGAAATCTTAGGGGGAATATGGTAGTTACTTTCAGCTTCTTTCTATCTGTCACCTGAAAGAGCTAGTAGACTGTGGTTAGCTGCAGTGGGCAAAATTAAGATAAAGGGTGGAAAATATGAAGTGGCTCTTTTGACTTTTATGTAAATATAACTTTCTAACAATAAGAATAGACTGCATTTTGAAGTAGTTCCTTGTCAGTGGAAGTACTCACACAGAGGATAGCTATTTACTGAGGATTTTATAGAGGGCATTTCTATGATTAGAAAGTTGTAATAGTAGAATTCTTTACTTTAAAATCAAATGTCCTGTGAGTCTAACATTCTACCTCTTTTTGATGATTGTCTTATTAGTCTCATAATGCTGAAATATGGAGTATAGACAACAGATAATGTGAGTTTTTAGAAAGAGGAGTGGAAAGTTTTATTGAAAAACGTTTTTGTGGATGAGGGTGGGTATTGGAATGGTCCTAGAAGGATTTGGGTAATTGAATAGGATAGTAAAACTATTTAATTTTCACTAATAAAAGTTTTTTCCCCCCTCATATTTTTAGGGCCTGTTCTTCTTGATGAATTTGTTGAGTGGCAAAAAGTCCGTCAAGTGTCATAGCAAGAACTATACTGAGGAAAATGCAGACCTTTTGATGCCCACCTGTATACAAACTAAAATGAGATGAGGAAAAAAACCAAGGGGCGCATTTTCATTCTTATGAAAGACTTCTTATAGTACTTTTTTTTCCTTTTTTTTAAGGAAGTTTTCTTGTTACATGTGATATGGGCATTGAACCACACCTCTTCTGAGACTGAAAATTGAAGTTTATGTTTTGAGTTATGTTTATAACTTTTATTTCAGAACAATAAAGATTCAGATTTGTGACAAAGGCTTTTAAGTGAAGATGTCCCTTGAGTGTAAGTGTAGTATTTATTTTGAAAAAATCAAAAATTTGACATTCTAATTATCTAAAATCTACTTTGCTATGAATTTTTGAATTTGCAACTTTTTTCAACCCCTTAGAAGTAATTTCAATATTTTATAATTATTCTAATTGTATTAAAATAATTAGAAAACTATGGTTTTCTAATAATAAGGCTAATTATACCTCCCTGTGCACAATTAGGATGAGTAATTGTTGACTTTGAATCTTTGATGCTTGTTTTTCTGTTGCAACTATTAAATTATTCTGCATATGGAGAATCCTACAACTTTTTTAGGTCTGAGTGGCTATAAAACCTATCCAGGTCTGCTTAATCTCACACACCTCGAGTTTTAGAATTGGAAACGCTTCTGATAAGTTATTTTCTGACCACTGATTTACATCCTAATTAACATTCAACATTGCAGATATATATGCATATATACATACATATGTGTATATATACATACCTACCCAAAGACACATCTCCATATGAGCATTATAGTAAGATGCTTAGTATTTTTGTAAATTAAAATTCCATTTGAATCTGAAAAACCAAGATTGGATATATTCAGTTCCTTGAGAAATCGGATTGTTTTATTGAGGATCTAGATTGATGGCTAGCTAAACTTGGATATCTCTATGCTGTTCACACTTCTGTTCTCTCCAGAATACCCCTCAGAAATCATCCATTTGATGGGCAATTTGAAGGACGGAGAGTTCTCATTAGTGAAGATATTTTGTTGTAGGAATAGAACTATTTTGAAATTTCCACTGCTAATAGAAATGGAGTAATTGACTGCCAAGAGCTTTGTTTCAGTGGTCACTTTAAGGCTGGGAAAGTCAATTTTTATTTTAAGTATCTTAGAGGTAATCAGTAAAAGGATAGTTTATGAAAATGTTAAATTTTTTAATAGTCTTCTAGTAGCTAACATTTCAAGATTTACAAAGCACTTTATAGATATTATTTTTGATCTTTATAATACTTCTCTATAAGTTAAATGTTATAGGAATTATAATTCTTAAAGGTTAGGTAACGGGGGTTCAAAGAGGTTATGTGACTTCCAAAGATCACACAGTAAATGGTAGATTACAGACTCCCATAAAAGATTTTTCACTTGAATCTAGTATTTATTCTAGGATGACCCAGATAACAGTGAAATTAAGGTTTGATTACTATCAGATTTTATAGTAAGAGCTACACTAGAGCTTAAAATTTACACTTCTTTTGATATCAAAGACCTAATGGTCTGAAAAAGTTTAGATTTTTATTTATATGACCTTTGGAGAGTTTTATACATAATTGATTATTTGTTTGAATGAGACAAAAATCCCCACTGTAAGAGAAACATTTAAATATTTTAAAATGAGCATTTTAAGGGTATTTTGTTTAAAAGATAATTTAGAACTTGTTCACATTTGTGTATTTACAGTGTGTCTTTAAAAAAAGGAAAATTGTTGGTTGGGTTGCATACCATAGATGTTTGACAGAAAAATTTTTAAAATATCCCTTTTGAAATTGAGAAATGTGAAAATACTTAATGTGCTAAAGAAGTCTGTAAGAGTTTTGAAAGTTGGAAGTCAGCAGAATATACTAAAATAGAAAATTCAGCAATTAAAAAATAACAAACTTGTTTATCTTTCTCTTCTAGCTCCTCTGTCCATTTCTTCTTTGTCATTAGATTCACATATACTCCTTCACTTTGTAGTCAAGACAAATAGATGTTCTTACGAGTCTTGCCTCATGTGTGCATCTTATTGGCGCAGTGTAGGCTGTGTTCTCTCTTATCCTTCCCCTCCTCAGTTTGGTGGTAATCAGTACTTGTTGAGCAGTTTAAATCAAGAGGTCAGGTGGCAAAATATAGGGTGTAATTGTTAGAAAGCATTGCAGTACCTATACATCTAAGAAAAAAGATACCTGTTACTCTTTGCACCTGTGGATCACCTAAGATATATCGAGCTAGTAGTTTCAAGTGCCTCATTCATAATCATTCATCATAAGAGCTAATTTTTGTTGGCATCTTTAATGCGTGAGATAAAATGCTAGAAAATGGAGAAGGCATGATCTGGCCCTTTGCACATATTTTAATTTGGAGATGCCTGTAATGCTCTAGGAAGAAGGGTGATTCCATTTTATAGATTGTCTCAGTAGGCTCACACAGTTTTCTTTTTCTGCTAGGTCAATAGTTCATTCTTGAGTTTTATAGAATCTAAAAAGTCAAAAGGAAATTGTCAGGAATGTTGACAAAGTTTGGTAGAAGATATTTTATTGTAAGTGCTACATTGTATGTGTGTTGTAACTTTTGGAGGCGGGGGTGGGGGGAAGACAACAGTATTTTTATTTAAAGTAAATCATCTTTGATGCCTCATTGTGTCTTGTTGACCCAGTGGAGCACAAGCTCTGGCAGGTTCTGCCATGATGGAAAGACAATATGGTATTGATATCAGGCTGTCAATTTCAGAGGAACAATCTAGTTGAATATGGAGTTTTTCTTAACTGTTCTTAGCAGTCATGGGAAAAAGAAAAATATAATATCTGATCTTGTTTCTTCTGTGATGGTGCCAAAGTTGGAAAGTAGGTCAAAAAGTTTTAAGAAAGACATTTTTCGCATGGTCTAGAAACATCGAATTAGCCGCTAGTACTTGAAATATATTTTTTCGCTGACTAATAAATAGAAGTACTAGTGGCGAAACTAAATCATCTAAATCTTAATATTTTTTCTATCAATGGAAAAAAAAGGGAAGTCACAACTAAATAGAGAGATGATTCACATATTCTCCTTGGAGAAATAAAGAAATTGGCAGAATTGGCTTTGTTATCCATCCAAGTCAAGAAGCATCAATTTGTAGACCGTTTGGTCATCTCATATTGCAGTTCTCATGATGACCATTTGCGAAAATACGCAGCATATTTGCTAACAACTTGCACTGGATAAAGAGTATACTACAAAGAACTCGGGAAGACCTTCCAAATTAAATATAGTGCTCAGTGACTTAAATGGAAAGGTGGCCACAATGAAGTTAAAGCAAAAAAAGTTGGAAAACAGAATTAACAGGTAAGCCCAAGAGAAACCAAACACTGCAGAACCCTCATGTCTAACATACTTCCAGGCAAAAGTCTGTAAGCAGTGGACAGGATGAGCATGAAATGACATCACAAGAAGAGAAATTGATTCTATTTTGACATGATATGACTGGTTGGTGATGTTTGAGTCGTTTTGAATTATCTGTACAGTCAAATAACTGACTTGTTACAGCAAAGGTCAAAATCAGTATTACATAGTAGTAAAAGCAAGAAGATAATTGGTTGGGGCAACGCCAATTTGATCTATTTAAACAAGATGACAAAACAATGGGTAAAAGGACAAGCATCAATACAGACTAGCAGTTCCTAAAGAAAGTTAACATATGTCAATTAGTTGCCAAAATGAGACCTCAAGGACAGGAACTATTTTCTCTTTGTATTTGTATTCCTAGTGCTTAGTGGATGGTTCTTTAATTGCTTAGAGATGGAACCTTCTGAACTTTACCATTTGACAAATACCAGTGTATGAGTTTCTAAAAAAATTAATTTTAAGAGAAATATATATAGAATACACAGACACGTAGAAGGTGTGTTATGGGAAATGGCTTACATGTGGAACCTTATGAACTATGTTCATTATGAACATAATATTTCTTCAGGAAGTATGCTTATAAAAGTGCATATAAGTTGATTTTCTCCCCCCTTGACTGTTAATGTTAAGAAATAAGATGTAATAAAGTATTTGTTGTGTTTAGTATATGAGAAAGATGTAGTAAGAATGCTAGCTTAATTCGTTATACTGTGTGTATATTTCCTAAGACATTTTTAAAACAGTACAATAACAGTTTATGGCCTGTTAAATTTTTTATTTGCAAGACTGCTGTAACCTCAATTTTGTGGTACAAATATGTAGGCAGGTTTTTGTTGTTTTACTATATACTCCCATCAGCTGAAAAGGTGTATACCTTCAATGCTTTCTGAATGGGAAAACCTTAAGGAACATAGGAAAAAAAAGTCAGTGCATATTGAAATTCACTCTGGCTTAAAAGAAGTAAAGCTAAAATAATGTCTCTCTACCTTTTCCGTTTGAAACAATGACAACAATAAAACAGCTCTTCTTGAAAAGGCCTGACATGAAGTCCCAATTTATCTTATGCTTTCTGTAGCACCAGGCCAGAAAGAGGAGTAAATCTATCTTTTCCTACTCCCATGTCTAGAGTATCCTTTTGCCATCGTCATTTAGCAACCTTTAGTAACCTCTCCTTGAGGTTCGTTTCACCAATGTTTACCATCCAGAACCAATTTTTGTTGGAGTGATCTGCTATCTGCACCATTCTACCTCTTTTTTTCAAGTTGAGTGTCTGGTTTATGCTCTTCCCTCTTCACTCCCAACTCCTACCTTTATACTCAGGGACTTCAGTATTACATGTCAGTGACCCCTTCAACACTCACCTCAAAGTTCATGAATCTCCTCAACTCAAGACAGATTATTTCTCTTCCTCCACACAGATAGATGGTCCTGTCTTTGAGTTATCACCCATTACTTCTCTCTGTGACTCTAATCTTTCAAATTATCATCTCTGATCATCACGACCTCCTGTGCTTTTATTTTTTCCTCTTGGCTCACTCCTAAACTTGTTCTTTTTCTTTTTATGAATTCCACCTCTCCTCTCTTACCCATTCTAGTCCATCATATGTCTACTTTGACCTCACTCTTGGCCTTCAGTCTTAAATCCATGGCTGACTAGTATAATTGTATGCTATTTTCTACGTAATATCTCTTGCTCCTTTGCCCTATTGCTAGTTAACACTGCTAAACATCTTACCCTGATTTACTTGTACCATCTGTGTACTCAGTATATACAGCCAGATGTTTCAGGAGAAAGTCATATTTCCTAAATTTGTTAACTAATCTTTTGTGGGTTTTCTTTACAGTATAGCAAAATTTTTTATTATTAGCATTCTTGAAGATAAGTTAGTCTCTTAAAATATCCTGGATTCATTCACAGTACATTGCTAATTCCACATTGTTACCTTGCTTCTTTTATTTTTTCTTATACTCAAAGGGTTTGTTACTTTTTTCTACCTTTAAAATTTTGGTGCCTTTTGTTTTTCCACTGAATTCATTTTCAAGTATATCCTGACCCCCTCTAGAGCTCTTTCTTGTGATAAAGATTTTAAAAGAAGAAAAAATACAGCAAAACTAGCCAACATATCAGCCACATCTGACAGCTTATACAGTATTGCACACCCATTGTCATCTGTTTGTGTAATGAAGAGAGGGTAATTTTATCTTGATCATTGTAATTATACAACATTCAACTTCTAAAAAAATTTCCATTTTATTGTATATGTGTGTGTATTCCTAGTTCTGTTTACTTCACTATCGGGTCATAGAAGAATTACCATATTTCAGAATTCTAAATGTCCATTATTTCTTAAAGCCCACTTACTTTGTTTTGAGTTCTTTGCTACTACAAAAAATGCCATGAATACAGCAAAGCTTGTATTCTTCTGTTTCTTATGTGCTCTAATAACTCTAACAAATTCTCTTCTTTTAGAGTTTCCTAGGTTATCTCTTTAGGTACTTCCTGTCATCAGGGAACCCACCCATTTACTGAGAAAATCTGTTTCCAGTCCTATCTTCCATATTTCACACCTCAAAGAGATCATTAAGTCTAATCCTCTTATTTTGTAAGGACCAAAGTTTAAGTAACTTACTCAGGGTTACACAGCTAGTTTGTGGTTTAGGTAGGATTTGAATTCAGCTCTTTTTGACTGAAGTCCATACACCATTACACTTCACTGCCTCATCACTCCACTCCCCTCTGCCCATTCTATTATCCTTTCTTCGAGGCCCAGATGAAGAGGTTAATCTTTGCTAATGCTAACCCCTCTCTGCTTTTGATTTCTTCTCCTGTCTCTTCCAGGAGCTTTCTCTATCATTTCCTCTTAACTTCAGCTTCTAACCCACTGGTTCCTTCCTTGTTGTTTGCAAGCATACCCAGGTGTCACTCAACCTTACAAAACCTTTATTTCACCTTTTTCTTTTATAGCCAAACTTCTAGAAAGAATTCTCTATACTCACTGCCTTCAATTTCTCATCTAATTCACTAGCTCCTATTGCTAGTGAATGCTTCCAAATTCACTACTCACCAGAACTGCACTCTCTAACTGTTTAATCTAGTGAGTTTTTCTCAGTCTTCATTCTGCTTCATGTCTATAGTTTTTATTATTGTCAGCAACCACCTCTTGGTTACCCTTTCTGTCAGTTGCTAACTTTTGTTAATTCTACTTTCTCAAAATCTTAATGTCCCATGTCTTTTTCTTCCTTCACCCAGCCACTACTTTAGTTCAGGGCCGTATCACCTATTGCCTGAGCTATCAGAGTAATCTGGTTCTCCCCTCTCTAATAAACGCTCTACAAAGCAGCCAAATTGACATTCCTACAAATAACAATATGAAATATCACTCCCCTACTCGAAAACAATTGGTGTCTTCCTCAGGGGAAAAATAAAGCCCTTCACAAGGTGGCCGTCATTAGTCTTGTTTTATATTGACCTTCATGTACTAGTTTTAGTCTGACTGACCTGCTAGCTATAAATGACAACCG